TTTCAGAAGTACAGGGCATGGTTGAGCTCAATGGAAGTCAGCCCATGGAGATCAAAGTCCTGGGTCCCTACACCTTCAGCATCTGTGACACCTCCAACTTCTCTGACTATATCCGTGGCGGTATCGTCAGTCAGGTCAAAGTACCTAAGAAGATCAGCTTTAAATCTTTGCTGGCCTCCCTGGTGGAGCCCGACTTCGTGATGACGGACTTCGCCAAATTTTCCCGGCCTGCTCAGCTGCATATTGGCTTCCAGGCCCTGCACCAGTTCTGTGCTCAGCACGGCCAGCCCCCTCGGCCCCACAATGAGGCGGATGCCACAGAGCTGGTGGCCTTAGCGCAGGCCGTGAATGCTCGAGCCCTGCCAGCAGTGCAGCAGGAGAGTCTGGACGAGGACCTCATCCGGAAGCTGGCATACGTGGCTGCTGGGGACCTGGCCCCCATCAATGCCTTCATTGGGGGCCTGGCTGCCCAAGAGGTCATGAAGGCCTGCTCTGGGAAGTTTATGCCCATCATGCAGTGGCTGTACTTTGATGCTCTGGAGTGTCTCCCTGAGGACAAAGGGGCCCTCACAGAGGACAAGTGCATCCCGCGCCAGAACCGCTATGACGGGCAGGTGGCTGTATTTGGCTCAGACATGCAAGAGAAACTGAGCAAGCAGAAGTACTTCCTGGTGGGTGCAGGAGCCATTGGCTGTGAGCTGCTTAAGAATTTCGCCATGATTGGGTTGGGCTGTGGGGACGGCGGAGAAATTGTCGTCACAGACATGGACACCATTGAGAAGTCAAATCTGAACAGACAGTTTCTGTTCCGGCCCTGGGATGTTACGAAGTTGAAGTCTGACACCGCTGCTGCGGCTGTGCGCCAGATGAATCCGCACATCCGGGTGACCAGCCACCAGAACCGTGTGGGCCCTGACACGGAGCGCATCTATGACGACGATTTCTTCCAAAACCTGGATGGGGTGGCCAATGCCCTAGACAACGTGGATGCCCGTATGTACATGGACCGCCGTTGTGTATACTACCGGAAGCCACTGCTGGAGTCGGGCACGCTGGGCACCAAGGGCAACGTGCAGGTGGTGATCCCCTTCCTGACAGAGTCGTACAGCTCCAGCCAGGACCCGCCTGAGAAGTCCATCCCCATCTGCACCCTGAAGAACTTCCCCAACGCCATCGAGCACACCCTGCAGTGGGCTCGAGATGAGTTTGAAGGCCTCTTCAAGCAGCCGGCAGAAAACGTCAACCAATACCTCACAGACCCCAAGTTTGTGGAGCGGACCCTGCGGCTGGCGGGCACCCAACCCTTGGAGGTGCTGGAGGCCTTGCAGCGCAGCCTGTTGCTGCAGCGGCCACAGACCTGGGCCGACTGTGTGACTTGGGCCTGCCACCACTGGCACACCCAGTACTCTAACAACATCCGGCAGCTGCTGCACAACTTCCCTCCTGACCAGCTCACAAGCTCAGGAGCCCCCTTCTGGTCTGGACCCAAACGATGTCCGCACCCGCTCACCTTTGATGTCAACAACCCCCTGCATCTGGACTACGTGATGGCTGCCGCTAACCTGTTTGCCCAGACCTACGGACTGGGAGGCTCTCAGGACCGAGCTGCCGTGGCCACGCTCTTACAGTCCGTTCAGGTCCCCGAGTTCACCCCTAAGTCTGGCGTCAAGATCCACGTCTCTGACCAGGAGCTGCAGAGCTCCAGCGCCTCTGTTGATGACAGCCGTCTAGAGGAGCTCAAGGCCACACTGCCCAGTCCAGAAAAGCTCCCTGGGTTCAAGATGTACCCCATCGACTTTGAGAAGGATGACGACACCAACTTCCACATCGATTTCATTGTGGCTGCATCCAACCTCCGGGCAGAGAACTACGACATTCCCGCCGCCGACCGGCACAAGAGCAAGCTGATTGCAGGGAAAATCATCCCGGCCATCGCCACGACCACAGCAGCCGTGGTTGGCCTTGTGTGCCTGGAGCTGTACAAGGTGGTTCAGGGGCACCGAAAGCTGGACTCCTATAAGAATGGTTTCCTCAACTTGGCCCTGCCTTTCTTCGCTTTCTCTGAGCCCCTGCCCGCACCCCGTCACCAGTACTATGCCCAAGAGTGGACGTTGTGGGATCGCTTTGAGGTACAGGGGCTGCAGCCTAATGGCGAGGAGATGACCCTCAAGCAGTTCCTTGACTACTTCAAGAGCGAGCATAAATTGGAGATCACCATGCTGTCCCAGGGCGTGTCTATGCTCTATTCCTTCTTCATGCCAGCCGCCAAGCTCAAGGAGCGGTTGGATCAACCGATGACCGAGATCGTAAGCCGTGTGTCGAAGCGAAAGCTGGGCCGCCATGTGCGGGCACTGGTGCTTGAGCTGTGCTGCAACGACGAGAGCGGCGAGGATGTCGAGGTCCCCTACGTGCGATACGCCATTCGCTAACCCCAAGCCCCCCTTCTCCAGGGCCCTTCCCGCCCGGGGCTCCCATGTGACTCGTGGCAGTGGCCCAGCGAGCCAAGCCTGGCATTCCCTCCTCGTCCCCCTGCCCGATCCCTCCTGCCACTGCTTCCTACCTTGTTCAGAACCTTGAATCCTAATAAACAGTTATTAATTCGGGGAAGAAAAAAAAAAATCTCAAATAAGAAACTCCCTGGTTTTTTTTATCAGTGATAGCCTGGGAGTATCATTTGTGTACTGTTCATACAATAGAATGTCACAGCAGTGAAAGCAAACAAATTATAGTCACATGGATATGACTTAAAATCATAATATTTAGTGCAAAGAAGACAGGCATGAAAAGGAACCAATCAACCAAGAAATAAAGTATCATTTTATTTCTAAAAGTTCCAGACTAGGAAAAGCAAATCCATGTTATATAGGGATGCAAACCTAAGTGGTAGAACTACAATGAAAAGCAAATAAATTACCATAAAAATTAGGATTCTGGTTACCTCTGTGGGGAAGGAAGGAGTTCAACTGGGAACCAGCATGTATGAGGCTTCTGGTGGGGCAAACTGGGCGTAGTCACATAGATGTTCACCTCATAATTGTTTGTTAAACTGTACATAATGTTTTTGCACTGTTCTGCATGCAAGTTTCACAAAAATTATTTTCCTTCTTTCCTCTTCCCACCCTTCCCTTCTTTCTTTTGAGATTTCCCAAAATAAAAAACACAAAAATTAAACATATATGTAATGATATGTTTTCATCTTTCCCATTCTGTATTTACTTGTTAGTTACCCTTATGCTGGGATTTGGGGGCCCCAGCATCAACCTCTATAATTCCTTAAACTGAGAGATGGAATTTGGAGTTGTGCTTCACCATCACAAAATTCTCCTGGGTGGAAATAATTGGGAAGTCTTGTGTTATTAGTCAGACATTGTTTTCCCTTTAAAGATTCTTTAATATCTTTTGTGTGATGCGATATTTAACACTACGCACCCTATGTATGCACAGGAGCCCTATCTAGCTTTGCCCATTATTGTAATCCAGTATCTGGCATGATGCTTGACACATAGTAACCACTCAAATACATATTATTGTTATAATTATTTTGAGATATATTTTTATTGATTTCAGAGAGGAAGGGAGAGGGAGAGAGAGATAGAAACATCAGTGATGAGAGAGAATCATCGATGGGCTGCCTCCTGCACACCCCACACGGGATTGAGCCTGCAACCAAGGTACATGCCCTGGATCAGAATTGAACCTGGGACCCTTCAGTCCGCAGGCTGACATTCTATCCACTGAGCCAAACCGGTTAGGGGCAATACATATTCTTTAAAACAAATTTATTAAGTAAGGTAAGTCACCTATGCCTGGCGGGTGTGGCGCAGTGGTTGAGCGTTGACATATGAACCTAGAGATCACAGTTTGATTCCTGGTCAGGGCACATACCCAGGTTTGGGTTCTATCCCCAGTAGGGGGCGTGCAGGAGGCAGATGATCAATGATTCTCATCGATGTTTCTAACTCTCTTTCTCTCTGAAATCAATTTAAAAAATATATTTTTTAAAAAGTCACCTACCATAGCCTTAGCCGATTTGGCTTAGTGCAGTGGTCAGCAAACTCATTAGTCAACAGAGCCAAATATTAACAGTACAACGACTGAAATTTCTTTTGAGAGCCGAAAACTGACTTCTGCGCGCGGGCCACGAAGTTTCAATTGCACTTTTCGTGTGTCTCCACACATGGTATTTTGTGGAAGAGCCACACTCGGGCCAAAGAGCCGCACGTGGCTCGAGAGCCAAAGTTTGCCAACCACTGGCTTAGTGGATAGAACAACAGCCTGCAGACCAAAGGATCCCGGGTTCAATTGAGGTTAAGGGTACATACCTAGGTTGCAGGCTCCTCCCTGGCCCGGACCCTAGTCAGGGTTTGTGTAGGAGGCAACCAATCGATGTGTTTCTTTCATATTAGTGTTTCTGTCTTCCCTTCTCATTTCCACTCTCCCTAAAAACCAATGGAAAAATACCCTTGGGTGAGGATTAACAACAGTAAAAACAAAAAGGCACATAAAATTCACTTTAAAAAAATATTTTTTATTGATTTTTTTTTTTTTTACAGAGAGGAAGAGAGAGGGATAGAGAGAAACACCGATGAGAGAGAATCGTCAGATCAGCTGCCTCTTCATACTCCCCACATCCCCAGTGGGGATGTACGCAACCAAGGTACATGCCCTTGTCTGGAATCCAACCTGGGACCTTTCAGTCCGCAGGCCGACCCTCTATCCACAGGTTTCGGCTAAAATTCACTTTTTAAAGGGTAAACTTTTTGCTCTAGCCAGCTTGGCTCAGTGGTTGAGCGTTTACATATGAACCTAGAGATCACAGTTTGATTCCTGGTCAGGCCACATACTAGGTTCTATCCCCAGTAGGGGGCTTACAGGAGGCAGCTGATCAGTGATTCTCATCATGGATGTTTCTCCTCCATTCATTTCTCTGAAATGAATAAAAACATTTTTTTTTAAAGGAATATTTGTTAAGAATGTTTCTTTTTACCCTTTGTTGGAAGAAACAGAAATGATGAAGAGTGGCCAGCAGGTGGCGCAATGAAACAACATTGAATCTCTCAGTCATTTAAAAAAAAGGCCAAGGCAGAGGCAGAAAGCAGAGCTTGGACCTGCAGATTTCAACCGAGAGAGAACATGTCATTCAGATTCGGCCAACATCTCATCAAGCCCTCTGTGGTGTTTCTCCGGACAGAACTGTCCTTCGCCCTCGTGAACAGGAAACCCGTGGTCCCAGGACATGTCCTGGTGTGTCCCCTCCGGCCAGTGGAGCGTTTCCGAGATCTGCGTCCCGATGAAGTGGCTGATCTGTTTCAGGCAACCCAGCGGGTCGGCGCGGCGGTGGAAAAGCATTTCCAGGGGACTTCTCTTACTTTTGCTATGCAGGATGGCCCCGAAGCCGGACAGACCGTGAAGCACGTTCACATCCATGTTCTGCCCAGGAAGGCTGGAGACTTCCACAGGAATGACAGCGTGTACGATGAGCTCCAGAAACATGACAAAGAGGAGGCAGACTCCCCAGCCCTGTGGAGATCGGAGGAGGAAATGGCAGTAGAAGCCGAGGCGCTTCGGGCCTACTTCCAGTGAAACGGGCAGGAAAAGCAACTTGGACAAATCCCGAGGCATAAGGAAATGGTCCTTGTTCTCAGGACTCTGCGGCATTGGAAGTGACGCTGAGCAGACTTGATTACATCCTACAATTTGGCAACCTTTTGCTCAGCATTTTATAGCCCTGCGGAAAACCACCCAGTTATGTTTCCATCGCGATGTCTGACAGGCTAACTTCAAAACAACGGCATTGGTGGCCCTTCCACACTCCTGGTCTGCGCAACTCAGAACAGAGCCCTTTCTACATTGCCCCTCCGCCTGGATGGGAATAAAATGGCAGTTAAGATAAAATAAAAATAAATAAATAAATAAATTTAAAAAAAACATGGAAAGCAGCCAACATTTCATCTGGTCATTGGAAAACATTTTGGTGCATTTCCCACCACCTACAATTTTTCTCCAAAACGGGCCATCATACAAAAGAACCTGTTAAATACAACCTTATTGAGGGAAACTGTCAAATCTAATTCTTCAAATGCAGGGAACAAAAAGAAAAACATAGACATTGGTGTTTCCTCCCTGTTGTTTGTCAGAGGGACTTCAAAATAATAGGATGCCAGAGCCCAGCATATAGAGCTTTTCTGTGTCTATGAGAAATGAGGAAAGTAGAGGTGTCCAGTAATAAATACATTTCCCAAATATTGTTAGATGACTTTGGAGCTGGATTAGGAAGTATTCAATTCTAAATCTTTACCAAGCACTTCCACTTATGTCTTATTGCTTATGGGCCATTGGAGGTTGGGGAAATTTTAATGACTCAAAAAGCCATTTTAATCTGGACACCAAGGCAAGAAAAGGGTTGTTCATCATCCCTTTCATATCATTCATTTGGGGCAAGGTGGGCATCATGACGGGAAGCGGATGGTGGTTGCAGTGGGAGATTGGTTATATATGGGGAGGACTGATCGGATGAGTAAATATATTAAGCATAATAGGAGCCAGGTTTCTCACTGTTGAAGAAGTGAGCTGTGCATATGGGAAAGGGAGGAAAAACTAGAATGAAATCTGTGGATTGGAATTGCATATTGGTGTGACATCATGGTTCTAAGTATTTATAGATATAAATAAAGGTGTAAATGTGCACAAATATATGTGTACATATATCTATAAGCATAGTCTAAGAGAGCCAGGAGTGATGACGCCCATGGTGGTGAAAACACACATCAAGTGCCCAGGACTTGGTGTCTGAATACCAGTCTTTGCTAAAAGGAACCAAGAAGGACAAGTGGCTGATTCCAGAGTTGGAGCAGGGAAGGTGTAAGATGTGCTTGGTGTCAAAAATGTGAGGAAATGCTCCTCAAAAAATGATGGGGGCCTGGGTGGCATGGCTCATTGAGCATGGACCTCTGAACCAGGAGGTCATGGTTAGATTCCCTGTTAGGGCACATGTCTGAGTTGCAGGCTTGATCCCCAGTATGGGGTATACAGGAGGCAGCCGAGCAATGATTCTCATCATTGATGTTTATATCTCTCTGTCTCCTTTCCTCTATGAAATCAATCAAAATATATTTTTATAAATAATGGGGACCTATGAAAAGGACCCACAAGCCAGACTGAAGTGGATCTCAGTGACTGTGTGAGCATCAAAATGAATAACTGTAATGATGGATTATAACTCACTAACATAGAAAAATATGAGTTCATGCTCATAGAAATAAGTGGAAAGTTTGATGAAGAGCAGAGTAAAATGTGAATAAAGTCGGGAGCTTAGTTGCTAGGAATACACCTATGTTAATTTCTTCATTTTGAAGAAATTATGGATACTGTCAACATTAGGGGGAACTGAGTGAAGAGTAGCTGGGTACTTGACTCTTTAGGCGGTTTTTTTTTTTTTTTAACCTAAAAATATCCCTAAATAAATTATATTTCCAAACATATAAAGTCAGTGCTTACATTTTGCCAGACACTTTACAGCACATGTGTCAAACACAAGGCCCGCGGGCCAAATCCGTCCCGCCAGGCCTTGCAATGTGGCCCGCACCGCGCTGTCATCACTGCACTCCGCTGCGTTTCCATCACAATGACAGTTTATGACTGTTCAGTAAACCATTCGGCCCGCGATTTAGGCTGGAGTTTAGATTTTGGCCCCTTCTCTGATTGAGTTCGACACCCCTACTTTACAGCATTCATTGCATTTAATCCTCACAACGACCCCGCACCCCCCCCCCCCCCCCCCCAGCGACTCCCAGCTTACAGAGAAGGTGAATTAGGTTCTCAGGATCCTGTGCTCAGCAGGTGGTAGAACTGAGATTTGAGCTCAGGTCTGTCTGACTGGGCCAAATAAATCACACAGCCCCATCTAGCCCCAGATAGATCCAGTAAAGCAAATAGCTGAATAAGGACAGAAAGGACATCTTGATACCTGAAGAGCAAACATTAAGCAAGTGAAATTTGATAATGCTCGCTGTTTCCATTACACTCTGCATCCATGAACAGCAAAATGGGTTTAAAATTTCTTTCAAACACCTGCACAACATTTTAGGAAATAAAAATCCCATCAATTGACCTGATTGACTTTTTCTGTTATACTCGCCCAATCTTTTTCAGGGTACACCAATGATTGTATAACTTTAATTAGTATACATACTGATTATTTGGGGTTTTGCTTTTTTACTTACCACACTTTCATGTACCTGTTTACAGGAATGCATTTAGTTCCCATAATGATCATTTAAACAGCCATATAGTATTACATGAAATGGACAGGATGCAGCTTCTTAACCATCTCCCTGTTGTGGGCACTTGGGATATTTTCAGTGTGTGGCTGATTGGAAAGTGCTGCTATAAACGTCTTTACACAAATTGCTTGTTACAATCTTTGGGACTATTTTGAGCAAGGGCATCTATGGGAAGCAGCTGAAGGAAATGCACCTGGAATTTTCTTTGTTGTTCCACTTGTTTATGCATTCATTATTTGATTCTTGTGTGTGTCCTCACCCAGGATGGGCCCACATGCTTTGTGTATCTGGATGATGCTCTAACCAACTGAGCTACGGGGCCAGAGCCTAAGACCCTGGAAATTTCACTTCTCCTGGGGGGAGGTGCTCTTTTTAGAGACTGGCTCTTGGCATCCAGTAATGCAAGAGCAGGAAGAGAAAAAAACAGTGGCTGGAGATGGGGGTGAGATAAGAGATGCGACTGGAAAGCTAGGCAGGAACAGATCTTGAGGGGGAGGAGGATTCGGATTCAGTTAGCTTTGAGGCACTGGTGGTTATTTGAGCGACAGAAACAGCTGTCAAGATAGTCACCCAGAGTCAGAGGGCAGGAATCTAGAATGTTATTAGTTGCAGTACATGATGACAGTGTGAGATGGCAGGGCCCTCTCTGTGCTTCCCCACCCTGCTCGGCGACCGTGACGGCTAGGCAGTGCCAGTGCTAGCATTCCAGGCTGTTGGCTTTGGCTCAGACCAGGTAATGCTAAGGGATGGCGTGCTTTCACGTCCCCTAAACCGCCTCTCTCCCCCTCGACCCTAGGCACCCCAAATAAACACAATCTAGTTCATCTAAATAAAAGTTCTGCAAATGCAACCTGCGAACAAGTCCCCCAGCACCAACTACGAGATCCTGGAGGCGCAAACCTATCCCGCCCCGCCAGGGGCCCGGCCCGAGGCAGACCAGGCTAGAACCCGCCAAGCTCTAAGCGTCCCGGACCAGCCCGCGGCCCGCGGAGGGCGGAGCCAGGGGAGGGGCTTGCGCATGCGCGGGTCCGCCTCCCGGCGAGGGGGCGGGCCGGGCGCCGGGGCGGGGCTGTGACGTCAGGCGCGCGCGTGGCTCCGGCTGCGCAGGAACAGCTGGTGCCTCTGAAGGCGGCCGGCGAGCGCGCGGCCGTGGGGTGCTGGGGGCCCGCCGCCCCGCGCCGCTGCACCATGTCCGGCCAGCTGGAGCGCTGCGAGCGCGAGTGGCACGAGCTGGAGGGGGAATTCCAGGAACTGCAGGTAAGGTCGGGCCACCTGGCCCCTCAGCGCGGCTACCTGGGGTGCAGTGCCTTCCCCTTCCTGCTCCCCCCACCCCCAGCCCGGGGGGTGAGCACCCTCAGGGCCTAGGGTGCCCCAGGCCAGGCCCTGGAGGCCGGTGGTCCGCATGGACCAGCCCCCGCCCGTCTCCCAGCACCTCAGATCTTCACCCGCCTGGGGCGCCCGGGCAAAGCCTCCGTTCCCGGTCCCTCGCACCGAGCACCTCCGTCGCTGCAGAAAGTTGGTCCGTGGCCTCTGGGGGGAAGTTCCAGGCGTGTCCCTGTAGGGAGGAGGCCTGCGGGGACAGGTCTGTGCTGGGACTCGGAACAGCCCAGCCCCCACCTCCTCAGGGGTCTCCCCTGACCCCACGGCTTTTGGCAGCTCAGCTGCCCCTCTGTCCTGGGGAGCAGCCTCCGCTGCAGCTCTGCCGGGAAGATGTGCTTGGGAGACGTTCACCTTGAACTCATCGGCTCTGCTTTGGGACCAGGGTTCCCTGTTCTCTGCCTTCGGGGCTCCGGTGTCGGTGCTTCTCAGGCGCTGCTGCAGGTGGTGGAGGCATCTGTCAGTTCTGACAGCTGGGGTGCCTCTCTCAGGAGGGTGAGGGCCGCTTTCTGCCCTCACCCTTCCGGCCCAGAGCCTGTAGGGTGGGGGCGGAGGAGGCAAGGGAGGCCCCTTGAGAGAATGGCTTTGTGGCCTTGAGGTCCGGGCAGGGGGATCTGTTCCTGAGTCTCCGAGGAGACGCCCCAAGAAACCAAGGGGGACGCCTGGACCATTTTTGGAGATGGGGCTGCTCCCTCTGCAGCTACCCTCTTGTGCCTGTTTTCTCAGGGTTAGGCTCTGCTTGCCCGGGGTCCCATCTCCCATCTCTGCGCACCCCTCCTTGTCCTCAGCCTGAGCAACGGCATTCCCCCCGAGCATGTCGCTTCTGTCTGCGGTTGGCTGGCCTCTCCCAGTGTCCAGAGGAGGGGAGCAGGGATTGCCAAGGGTATTTGTAATGAGTCCTCCTAGACTGGAGGCAGCAGGTCCGGATGACCAGAGAGAGGGGTGCTGGAGAGACGGGACAGTTTTAGGCATGAGCAGAGGGTAAGGTACCCAGAACCAAAGCGGTATCCCCTTCTTGGCTTGTCCAGCGAGTGTGTGGGTTGGTGCCCTCTCCTTCAGGTCTGGGGCTCGGGTCCCACCCAACTCCCTGGGGACCCTTGTGGCTCCACTGCCATTGTAGAAACTCAGCCACTTTTTTTAAAAAAATATATTTTATTGATTTTTTTTACAGAGAGGAAGAGAGAGGGACAGAGAGTTAGAAACATCGATGAGAGAGAAACATCGATCAGCTGCCTCTTGCACACCCCCTACTGGGGATGTGCCCGCAACCAAGGTACATGCCCTTGACCGGAATCGAACCTGGGACCTTTCAGTCCGCAGGCCGACGCTCTATCCACTGAGCCACACCGGTTTTGGCACTCAGCCACTTCTTAATGCTTCCTCCTACTGGGCGTCATGTCCAGCCTTGGAACCACTTGGGGGGGGGTGTCAGGGGCAGGAGTGAGAGGAGAGGTTCGCTGTGTGGAGCTCTTGTTGTTCACCCTTCCTTCCCCTTGTCCTGCCTCAGCCCAGGAGAAGGAGGAGTCTTCGAGCGATGCGATTAATGGCAATTAACAGCAATTAGACAGCAGGTCTTGGCAGGCAGAGGTTGCAGAGGAGACGGTTTGATTTGCTGTGTTCTTATGTGGTGTCTCTGGGGCTCAGGTGTGTGCGGGACAGGGAGGCGCTGGGCATTAGTGCCTGGTTTCGTCCCTAGGTGCCAGCAGGGTTTGCAGAAGGGCTCACCTGGTGGGAACTGTGCCGTCCCTGCTTAGTCCTTCAGCCGCCGGGCGCGGAGTGCACTTGGGGAAGAGGGAGCATCCATGACAGGAGGCATCACCCTTGCCCCGGCCCTTGCCCCGGCCCCGATGCACACGGAGGCATTTGGGTGACAGGTTGTGTGACTGCTCTCAGCCCTGCTGGCCGCAGGCTTGGCTGGCAGCTTCTGGATCAGAGGTCAGTGATGGAGGGAAGGCCACGGAGTCCCCTGGAGGACTGGAGGTGGAAAACACTGTGAATTCAGTTCATAATAGATGAGGACACTGCAGCGTGGGCATGCTAACGTAACCGGGGTCACACAGCTTCTTAGTGACACAGCTGGAGCTGGAGCTTAGTTCTCTCAATGTTCACTTCAGCCGAAACCGGTTTGGCTCAGTGGATAGAGCGTGGGTCTGCGGACTGAAGGGTCCCAGGTTCGATTCCGGTTAGGGGCATGTGCCTTGGTTGTGGGCACATCCCCTGGTTTTAGCGGGTGTGCAGCAGGCGGCTGGTCGATGTTTCTCTCATGGACGTTTCTAGCTCTCTATCCCTCTCCCTTCCTCTCTGTGGAAAATCAATAAAATATATTTTTTTAAAAATGTTTACTTCACATGTATGTCCTTGTGTGGGGAGGCCCCTCTCTGTCATATTTAATGGGAGAGCTCTGAACTCCTAGAATGAAAGTCTATGGAAATACATGTGTAATAAGTAGGGTGCACCTCGTCATTGTGTATGTGCTGGACAGACTTTCAAATGAGGCCTTTTATTGGGGAATAAGAGGGTTACAGCAGGTAGGCAGGTGGACAGAGGGGAACTAGAAAGATTTTTTCTTTATTTCTTTTTTTTTTTTTCACCAGAAAATCTCGGTCTATCTTGAGCCAGACTGGTTTCAGCAATCTTAATTTTCCTAATCTACCTCGGAATCTGGGATTCGTGGATTTTATGCTTGTATCTCTCTGGTTTCCTTTCTTGGGGCAATGTAGACTATCACTGGGTTTTTACCTTTCCTTCCCATTTACACTTGAAGGGAAGGAAAGAAGAAACTTAGCTCAGGCCCTAGAGGATTTGAAAGGTCTTTAGAATTTCTCCCTCCTCCGCAAAAGTCATAATCTCTGGGAATTTCCAGAGGAAAAGATCTGATTTCTTTTGATTGTGGAGCTTCACTGGTCTCTGGGGCAAGGTCAGGTCGCCATGGTTATTTTGTTTTTAGCTGTTTGGGATTTCAGCCTTGTTGGTAAATTGAGCGTGGCCCTGTGGCCGGTGGTGTGACCACAGAAGGTCACTTCCCGACACGGTGGCAGGTGGTTTAATGTAATAAGCCTTTCCTGCTTTGCCTTACATCACTGGAAACCTGACCTTGCCCCTCCCAACAAGGAAGGAGATAGCTAGAAGCAGTTTTTCCCTAAACTTTTTTTTTTTTTTTTTTCAGAGAGGAAGAAGAGGAAGAGAGAGAGAAACATCAATGAAGAGAATCATTGATCAGCTGCCTCCTGCACCCCCCACTGGGGATTGAACCTGCAACCTGAGCATGTGCCTTTGACCAGAATACAACCTGGGACCCTTCAGCCTGCAGGCCAACGCTCTATTCATTGAGCAAAACCAGCCAGGGCTCTTTCCCTAAACTTGACCTCATAGTAGGTAGACCATTGTAAAGATTTTGGCTTTTGCCCTAGCCAGTTTGGCTCAGTGGATAGAGCGTCGGCCTGCAGACTGAAAGGTCCGGGTTCGATTCTGGTCAAGGGCACATGTCTGGGTTCCCAGCTCAATCTCTGATGGGGATGTGCAGGAGGCAGCTGATCAATAATTCTCTCTCATCATTGATGCTTCTATCTCTCTCTCCCTCTACTTTCCTCTCTGAAATCAATAAAAATATTAAAAAATTTTTTTTTTGCTGAAACTGGTTTGGCTCAGTGGATAGAGTGTCAGCCTGTGGACTGAAAGGTCCCAGGTTTGATTCCGGTCAAGGGCATGTACTGTGGTTGTGGGCACATCCCCAGTAGGGGGGTGTGCAAGAGGCAGCTGATCGATGATTCTTTCTCATCGATGTTTCTAACTCTCTATCTCTCTCTCTTCCTCTCTGTAAAAAAAAATCAATAAAATATATTTTTTAATTAATAATAAAAGATTTTGGCTCTTACTACCAATGAAATGGGCATCCCTCTAGCTGCTGTTATGGAATAGACATGAGGGTGGGGCAGGCTGTAAGCAGGAAGATAGTATTATTTCATTAAATCCGTAAGAAATAGGGATTATCACCAATTTACAGAGAACAATAAGTTACACAACATTTCATGGCTTGTAAGTGCTGGAGCCAGGATTCAAACCTAGGTTGTTGAACACCAGAGTCTGCGTTCTGTATGTCAGATATTTTCTGGGTTCCTAACATAGTGGACTCTGAACCTTTCTTGAGATTCTTGGCTCTAGAATAAAACTTTAAAAATATATATATAATTTCATTAATTTTTTTACAGAGAGGAAGGGAGAGGGAGAAAGGGAGTTAGAAACATCGATGAGAGAGAAGCATTGATCAGCTGCCTCCTGCACCCCCCCCACTGGGATGTGCCCACAACCAAGGTACCTGCCCTTGACCGGAACCGAACCTGGGACCTTTAGTCCGCAGGCCAACGCTCTAGCCACTGAGCCAAACCAGTTAGGGCTAGTCAGAACTCTTAGTTGCAAGTGACAGAAACCCAATTCTACTGGTTTAAGCCAAAAAAGGGGTTTATTGGTCATGTATTGGAAAGTCCAGTGACAAACAGCTTCAGGCAAGGCTGGATCTGGGGCTCCAATGATGTCTCTGTGAGTGTGTCTGTCTGTCTCCTCGTTGTCATCTTTATTCTTAGGAGGCGATTTGTATCTCCCTTTTTGTGGTAAAGATGACCACTGGTGGCTCTTGTTTGACATCTACCATCTACTTAGCAAACCTGAAAAAAAACTAAAAAACCCACAAAAAAACCCAGATGCATCTTTCCCCCAGTAATTCCAGTAAGAGTCCCAGGGCTGATTCTCATTGGCTGGCCTTAAGTCATGTGATTATCCCTTACCAGTCAGTGGGGCATTGATTGGCAACGCCTTGGTTACATGTCTACACCTGGAGCTCACACTGGAATCAGTGCTACTTTAAACCACATGAAACACGAATG